ATAAATGAAATGGTAAAGGTGCCAACGGACCTTCGTAAAAACGCCGAGAATTTTATTTCAGTGTTTGATACAAATCACGCTTTGATCACGTGGACTCATTGAATGCGTTTTAAAACCATAATTTTAAGTCCATGCAAGATGAGTCCTCTTATCGTTGGCAATGGAATTCTCCCCCTCCCTTCACCATCAAAATCAGATGATTGATTTATTTGAAATATCTCATAAAATTTGGGAGTAAAATTTAGAATAATATTACACTGAAAAAAAAAGGATTGCTAATTCACTGATTAAGGGTGGAGCAAAATTAACTTCACTTCGTAAAGCTTTCTTATCCGTGCACGGTGTTGAATCAAGTGATCGACTAGCACGAATTGCTACACCGATTTGCTACATCTGCGTGCCTTCATGCAGTTAATCTTGCATCGAGTGGCTTGGAAGTGTAACTGCATTTTTTGGTATTGGTACTTTGCGAACAGTAAAAATAGCTCAATAGTTAGGCTGAAATAGCGGAATTCACGGAGAAATATCGAAATTCACGGAAGAATAACTAAAAAGGTAACAGACGTAGATTTTCAGAGAGCAAAATCACCCACACGCGTGTGTGTAAGTTAGCTGAAATTTGTGTAGCGATTTTACCTGCATGATTTGCACGTTCGTTTTTTAGCTACACCATGCCATGAAATACCCGCGTTCAAGGCAAATTCAGCAATATTTTTTTTCAGTGTATAGCCAAAACCAAAAATAATATTTCGATCAACCAATCTTTGATACAAATTACGCGTGCAATCTCTGATCACGTGGATTCATTGAGAGCGTTTTAAAACCATAATTTTAAGTCCATGCAAGATGAGTCCTCTTATCGTCGGCAATGGAATTCTCTCCCTCCCTTCACCATCAAAATCAGATGATTGATTTATTTGAAATTTCTCATAAAATTTGGGAGTAAAATTTAGAATAATATTAGATATTTGTGAGCGGAATCTGTCCGGGTGAGTGCAAATAAGGAACATCTCAATTCGATACTATTATATACCCTTCATACTTCGAAATATGTGGCAAAACTGTTGCTCCAAATGCAGTATTTTAAGAGAATTTCTTTTTGAAACGAATATCGGCACCGACGAGCTGATTGTTGAAATTGATAGACAAAGCTATAGACAATGGAGACATAGGGAGTATGGAGCTATCCTATTGGTCGAAATTTGTGGTTGTTACAAACTAAAGGCGGTAAATGACGGACTAACTAAAGGGTCCCACATTGGTTGCCATTAATTAGTCCTTTACCTACCTATTTTGTCCATTTCACCCATTCGCATCGACCAATATAAGCCTTCTTATCAACTTTGTCTTCTTTGTTAACGAATTTCAACAATCAGCCCTCTGGGCTCAATGAGAGCGGCTTTTTCAGATTATTTTTTGACCATAGTAAGTCCTCTCATAGTCCTTAAATCTCCTCCTCCACCTACCCCCTCCCCCTTACAACCACCAACTAATAATTAGTTTGATCGATTTTCCTCGTAAAAATTGTAAGTGAAATTTAGAATAACATTAAACTTGTGTGTGCAGAGTCAGACCGAGTAGGTACGAAAAAGGTGAATTTCAATGTAACATGACTATATCTGCCGTGCTAAGGAAGAGCGCCGTGTGAACCATCAGGCGTTGCCAAATTTCCTTCGATGGATGACGAATTTTCAGGATAGTTTGTGAATATTTCTCCTCCGATTTTGTAAAGGGTTCCGCTTGTAATTTGATCTAAATATTCTGCAAATGATAAGGAGATTTATTATTACTTTCTTCAAAAGTAATTATTTTCCGATAGTTAATTTGGTAAAATTCAAATGCTTTCACGGCTCTTCTACTTAGCACGGCAGATATATACCAATTATAGTTCGAGAAATTGGGCAGAATTGCTGCTCCTCATGTAATACTTTACATTTAATCGCCTACAGTCTAGAAATGTAAGAAATCATAAAAACGCTCCTATTGAATGTCGTATGGAATATAAATAAATTTTCAATTCACCCTAAAGCTAAAATTGTTTTTTTGAATCGTTTGATCGAATGAGCCGCTATGAGTTGAACATCCAAGTTAAAGAAACTAATTTCTAAGAAGCTGTTTAACAACCGTGTGGCTTAGTAGCTTATAAGTTGAACCCGGTGGATCATTAGACAAAATGTGACTCTTAACGTTGTATGTCCCGAGAAAAAATGGATCATTCGAGCTCATTCAGGATCGTTCGATTTTCAATGATCCTGAATGAGTTTGAATGATTCTTCAATGAGCATAAATAATTCCGAATGAGCTTGAGTGTTCTGGCTCGTTGGATCGTTCAACTTGAATGCTCCGGATCGTTCAAGTCGAACGATCCGGATCTTTGACCCAATGCGCTTGAATACGCTGGCCCATTGGATCATTCCACTTAAATGTCCAACTTGTTGGATCGTTCAACTTGTATAATCAGAACCATTCAATTTGAATGATTCAATTAATCAGCTTATTCAAACTCATTGGGCCAATGATCAGGCTTATCGTAGCTGAATCATCAAGATCATTAAAATTGATCGACCCAACTTGCTGGCTCATTCAAGCTTATTAGGTCAACGATCAAGATTATTAAAGTTGAATAAGCCACCAGCATGATATGAATGATATGATCAGCAGATTCGGTTATTCAAGTAACGGTCCGATGAGAATCTATTGTAGCAAAATTGTAAAAAGTATAGAAGCAAAAGTACATGGGTATCCATTCTCACTATTCGCAGTTTTTCTTCGACAGAAAAATGAAGGGGAAAAAACCAAAAAAACAAACGTGATAGAAAAATTTAAAAAAACACAGACTCACCAAAAGTTTCATCCAATTATTCTTGAAGTAAGCTCATCCTCCGCCCTATTATAGTAACAGCGTGAATGTACCTTTCATAAAAGTAGTTTGAAGGTGAAAATTTTTGTCACAAACCATCTCCCCCCCGCTGTCAAGAATTCAAACCACAAAACAATCATGATGGGAGAGGCTGGTAGCTTTGCCGCCGAGTTGCAAAGCTGCTCTGCCCTGGCTCTGCCGCGCTAGGGAAAAACGCCGTATGAGCCTTCAGACGTAGCCAAGTTTACTCCAATAAAAACCAAATTTACTGGGAAAATTGTGGATGTTACTTTCTAAAATTTTCAGATAATTTTATACGAAATTTGGACGTATTTCTGTCAAATGGAACTAAGCGCCATCGGGGTAGGAAGGTAGAGGGGGGCTTGGATTGGCGGCGGATCCGGGCGTCGGGCTCATTCGTTCCTATACTCGCAATGCTTTTCCATGGCGCTCAGTTCCGTTTGACAGAACGCGCTATCCGGGATTCTAAATCTAAATTCCACAAAAGGAACTCAAATTGGCGCTTAGTTCCGTTTGACAGAAATACGTCCATTTAATCAAAAATATCTGAACTTCTCAAGGAAAAATATATACAAGAATGTTTACAAAAATACATGTTTTATCAAGGGAAATTTGGCAACTCTCGAATGTTTATACGGCGTTCTTCCTTAACACGGTAGTGCTGCGGGGATACTTCCCATCGACAACTGAAAAATGTAACTAAAAGAAACATATTGAACTACCAGCATAACCAAAAAAATGTTGAATTGAAGAATGAACCGCGCGTTTAGAATTGCATGCGCGATGTCGCTGTTACTCGGATTTGAAAGAAAGAAAGCAGCAAAAATTACATTCGGATACAGGGGTATGTTGTAATTGATTTTGTCTCTGAAATAATTCAGTTACCTTAGATTGTGCTTTGAATTGAAATAAGGCAGTAAATACTTACAATTTTGTGCTTGAGTGTTTGTTCAAATGAAGTGTCAACGATGGAGAACATATTATTAGTGTAAAATTGTATCTTCGGAATACAAAGCAGTGCATTTGATGGCTGGAGCATAACTCACAGGTATAAGGTAAGTTCATACTGATACTCCATGACCGTCAAAGTTCCGGGATTCTTTTTAGATTTTTCAGATGTTCCAAGAAAGCTCTGGAAAACGCAAAAGATCTGGAACATTTCAAAAGTTCCAGGAAAAATTTGGGAAAGTCTTAATAGTTAGTTCCGTGTAATAGGAGAAAAACAAGGGGAAACGAGGAACAAGGCTATAAACAAACAATTAATAAAACCTGAGACGTTTCGACTCAAAACTGAGAGATAACCAGTAGGAAATACAATACAAATTTAAGAAAAACGATGAAAACCTGAGCCCTACATAGTGGTGGCCGGGATCTTAGAAAAATGATTCCCGATGATGTTCCGTGAAATGGAAGCGCTGGAAGGTGGAAAATATTGGGAGAATCTACCAAAACATTCCGGCGATTAAACCTCCAATAGCTCTTCACAGCACAGGTGACTCATATAATGTGCGTGTGTTCGCAAAGTTTTCCAAGAGAATACATTACAGGCGGAAAACCTCGAAATTGTTCCCAATATTCCTACAATCACCCAAAAGTCTATGTGGCTCCAAAATCAGACACATCTGTATGGCACAACTTTCCGTTGTTTTTGTAGAGAAAGGCCCCGCAGTCACTTACGTGCGTACTAATTTGTTTGCTAATTTCAGGAAGGCCCTTACTGCCGTGCTAAGGAAAAACGCTGTATGAACATTCGAGAGTTGCCGAATTGCCTCCGATAAAATGTTTATTTTCGAAGGAAGTTATCAATATTTTTCCTTAAAATTTTTAGAATATTTAGATCGAATTACGAAGGAAATTCTGTGAAAAATCGAGAGAAAAATGTTTATAAATATTCCTGAAAATTCTTGATATATTAAAGGAAATTTGGCAACCTCTGAAAGCTCATACGGCATTTTTCCTTAGCGCGGCAGCTTAGATGTACACTCAGGTGTGAGACTCGTAAAATATTTTGCGAACGGAATGACAGCCGAACGAAGTCATAAGGAACCATTTGTTCACGCATTAAATGGCTGTATAAAACAAGGACGCAAGCATTAGGACAGGCAATCGATGCCCTAATTCGTCTCCAAAAAATTGAGTGCTAGTATGAGTTTAAGTCGGTTCGATTCACCTTGGAGTAGTCTCTATTTTTAATCCCTTTATTTCAATTTTAAGAGAGATTTCAACAAATGTCCCGTGAATCAACGTTGTCTTCTTATTTTCATCCCATTTTCCTGGACGGAATGCTAGGGGCCATGCCGCTTATCGTATTTTTTTTCAACATTAAAACTGCACAGCGTATATACATGTTCTCATAGGATTGTATCGTACCGCGGGCGGAACTGAGAACCTCCGGACAAGACTCTTCTTTCCTCCGGGGAACATTAACAATTAACAACTTCACGTAAGTAAAGCCCACACTTTGCGACAAACGCTCTATTTGGAATTATATTCGTTTCCCACGCGCATCCAATTTGACACAGAACTATTTCTGAATTTTTGGAAGATTTTTTTACTGCTTGGCAGTAATGTTTTGTGTGAAAGCATCCAAATATAAGTGATATTCTATTGGGATCTATTTATTACCAAAATTTACTAAGTACAAAGAGATTAAATCATGAAGAAATCTGATCCTTGAATGTATATTATCTAGGAACATTAACAACTGAATGAATTCAGCGTGACTATTGCGTTTCCTTGCCTTCTATATCGAACAAGTCTCAGAGAAGTTCTGACAGTAGATAGATAGATAGATAGATAGATAAGATTTTTATTTTTTTCACAATTTCCATAAGACACAATGCTACAAATAACTAGAAAATCACCTCTCAAGGCATTTGCCGTCCGGAGGATTCCACGCAATTTTACAACTTTTTACAACATCCAAATATCCAATTTCAAAAAAGCACATGCTTGGACCCGTGCATACTAAAAAATAGAAAATAAATAAAAAATACAAACACAAATAAACAAGTAGAATTTTATACCTAAAAATTTTAAAATTTTAAAATTTCCAGTATAAAAACTTAGCAACGCGTGTAACAATTGTCGAAATTTTGAAAAGTTAAGGAAAAGTTTAAGAAATTTAGAATTCAAAATTATAAAAGATTTCTTTGAAAAAAGAATATATTGATGCTCTCTAAGCTTGGAATTTCAACTTTGCCATTTAAAAATTGACTAGAAAATTAAATATGAAATTCTGAAACCAAAAAGAACCTGTACTGCCTCGCATGCTTACAATATTTCACTAAGCTTTTCCATTCTGCCCGATGTAACAAGTTTATGAACTCTTCTTTACTTAGATTCCTTTTCTGCAACCATCTAATCCTAAATTCAAACAGCACAGGACACTCAGCTACGAAGTGGAATACAGTTCTGACAGTATGATCTATTATTTTAATAGGCATATATTTCTGTGAAAACATTCTTACGGCGTCAAGAAGCAGTATATTGTTTCTATTTCTTTTATTTTCTACCAAATGCCTACACAGGTAAGGAAGTAATCTTACGCGCAATGCATGAAGTATCCTTCAGACTTGTAAGGCGCTACTATGCGCTGCGCGCTCAGTGCTGTGCGCGCAATGCATGAAGTATCCTGCGGTCTTGTAAGGCGCTACTATGCGTTCAGCAATCTCTACGGTCTGGTTCATACAGTAATTCATCTTATTTGTTAAAGAAAATAACATAAAATTATGAGAATAAAGCATAACGCATAACGCTGTGCGGTTGAACTTACAAGGCGATCAAAGAACGTGCCCTCTTAATTTGTAAAAAAAAAAAAAAAAGTCGTCAGTTCACCAAGTTTACTTCTGTGCGAAGCACTAAAATTTTCTCCTACCAGGTCTGCATTCTCTTTATAACATGAAATGAATATTTCAACAGGAAATTCCAGGACTGAAATGTTCCTACCGCGGGAAAGATGCACGTTCATACCAGCGATCCTCCTCATTTCCTCCCTGGCAATCTCACCTGTCTTTTTACAATCTGTAACTCTCTTCAAAAACAAGAACTTCGATGGTCCTAAATGCGATATCCAGGTCCAAGGATGCAAACCGGTTTGTCCTGAATTGAAGAGCCAGGCTTCATCTTTACAAATGACTGCCAACTGCGCTAATTTCTACCGACGGGAAGGCTGTACAGCCTACATGGGCACTTGGAGCTCGAACATGGGTGAAATTAAGAACTTGAAGCACAAGGAGTCCCAGGATTCAATCATGTCCGTCGGGGACTGCAGCAAGCCAATCGTAAGTAACTCAGCTACTGAATTCAATCATAGCTTTTTTGGTCTGATTGTTTCCGAGTTCATAATCACACAAAATGTAAAGGCTGCGTGTTAAAAAATGCATGTTTTTAAATTGGGCAACTCGGAACTATAATTTCTGGCTCATTTGTAAAAGCACTTAAGTGTACAGGGAAACTAATGGTACATACGTTGTTTCTAAATGGAGCCAGAAATCATAGTTCCTAATTGCAAAATGTAATCCAATTGGCCAACATTTCACAACTAGGAACTACAATTTCCGGCTCATCCGTAAAACTCTTACGCGCTAAGGGAGACGATTAGTGAATGCGTAGTTTATGGACTGAGATAAATTTTGTAGTTTCTAATTACAAAATGTGGTTTATTTTACGTGCAAGAGCCCACAAAGAAATACATTTCGAATATATACGTTCCTTGACAAGCTTTATATGTAAACAGTGCTGAAGTGTCAAAAAAAATCTCATTAATCGTACCTTTAACTTTAAGGTGATTCGATGGACGCCATATTTTGTGTCAGAACGGCATGCGATATATCGCATTAATTGATTCCATTTTTTCACCTACTCGTCATTTTTCTCCAATTTTGAGATCGCAATTCTGTTGTCAGGAGACTAAAGCACTCTTTTACCAATTTTAACAAAGAAATTCAACGTGATAAAGGCGTGGTTTTTTTAGAGAGAAAATATCGCATTCGAGTGCACTTTCGATATCAGTATCGAATGCGATGTTTTCTCTCTAAAAAAAACCACGCCTTTATTACCTTGAATTTTTTGGTTAAAATTGGTAAGTGAGTGTGTGAGTGCTTTTGCCTCCTGACGACAGAATTGCGAATTCAAAATTGGAAAAAATGACGAGTAGCTGAAAAAAGGGAACCAATTGATGCGATATATCGCATGCCGTTTTGACACAAAATATGGCGTCCATCGAATCACCTTAATACGGCTTGGATTCGATTTAAAAAAAAAATCCTCGGATTGCCAAGATATTGAATTTTCCTGCACCCATTTCTTTGCGCCGTGGGTCTGATTTCTAGGCGTCCTCTCTGCAGCATCTCAGCAGCAGAAAAACAGGAGCCGGAGTAAGAGAATATGAGAGAGATTTGGAAACTTTGACGGACCGGAACCCACATTTTAAAGAAAATAATTCTATACAAAGCAGAGAATATAAGCAGTGAACAACTTCTTACCGTTTTGCTGTACCAATAATATGCGCAGAGGAAAAACTTGTCTGGGGTCCCATTTGAATTTAGCAAGTTAGAGCCTGTTCCCCACCTCTTGAGAGGCCCTTAGTCACAGCATCCCTCTCAAAAAATGTGCATAATTGTATTTGCTGCAGTCTCGTCTAAACCCTAGGTCAACATCTACAACAATTCTTACAATATCAAGAAGTGTCCAAGCATATTTTACACCCTGTATATTGCTACTACACCCAGGCCATTTTTCCAGAACGCACATTAAAGCCAAGCCCACTTTGCGTGATAACATGCCCTAAAGGAGGCGAATAATTGAAATTTGTAGACAAAGCTATAGACAAGCAAGACAAAAGAGGTATAAAGAGATCTCATTGATGGAAGCGGGTGGTTGGAATGGACAAAGGAGGTTGATGATAGAATTTCTCCCTTAATCTGGGTATAGAAATCACACGTTTCAACCAATACGATCACTCCCAATGGCACGGTGTGCTTTGCGATATATCGATCTATCTGCCATTTAAATCTATAGAGGAGTCTCCGTGAACGGGTGTTCATAACAAATACTTTAATAAAATATCGATAATCGATCTTTCACGCTTCGCCTCTGATTGCTCCATTCTCCCAATGTCTTCTTTTGTCTATAGCTTTGTCTATCGATTCAATTCAGTGGTGCAGCTGACTGCACCACTGATGCCAACGTTCTTTTTGCAGCCGGAAAATACCGTTACTTTTTACCAGCATAAGCATTATCACGGGAAGAGCTGCACCTTACAGGTGAATGAGGGCTGCCAACCCATGTGTCCGGAATTGGACAACCTAGCTTCGTCCGCAGAGGGAAACGCCGCCTGCATCGAAACATACGATGATCCGAACTGCCACCGTTACGTGGGTGATTTAATTGATTTCAAAATTGGGGGCTACAGAAACTTTGAAGAATGGCCTAAGGTATCTTACGGATTTTATCAAGACAAAATCTCCTCCGTTAAGTTGTGCTCGATGAACAGGACCGCTACATTCTACGAAAGCACTTATCAAGTAGGGAAATTTTGCACCATACCGTTAAATAAAGGCTGCCAACCGATGTGCCCCGAACTTAAAAAAGAATTTCATTCTATGAATGCGACAAATAGTTGCGTTAGGACATGGTCAGAACCCAACTGCAAAGGAGAAAAGAATGAATACCTTCCACCCGTGAATCGCCATTATCACTATGCAGCCTCTGTCGAGGACTGTGTAGACACGGATCAGGACAAACTTCCAACGAGACTGGATCTCAGGCGACCTGATATCTGGAATTGAAAACAATCAGCGAACCATGAAAAGTGTAACATTAAGAGAAGTTGAGAATAATTATACATGGTGTGTGTTTAAGTGTTTGTTTGATTTTTCCACACCCATTACACAACCTATCCGACTGGTTGCAATCTGAGACAAGAGACCCTACTCTGAGAGACCCTCCACTTCTTGGCCATGGCGGAAGCTTTTACTTTCGGGACTTCAGCATTCTACTGTGACTTACCTACATGGTTTATGTTTAACAACGTGTTAGCTGTTGCAAACAAGCCGAAAATGGCCCAAGTTTGGGAAACTTGCTTTGGGTGACGTCACCCGAAGCTCATCATCTATCATGTAGGTAGGTCAACAACCGAAATTAGGGTGATGACTGTTGCTTCCTTATAATCGTCCATAGAGAATTGTTGAATCCCCGAAAGTAAAAGCTTCCACCTGGCGCCAGAAGGCCAGTGGAGGGTCTCTTGTCTCTCATTGCAATGGGTGACCGTCTAAAATTCGACATTTAAACCAAAGAATTTGTACCGGAACACCTAAAAACAGTTGATTTTGTACACATACAGAATTCGCTGGTGTGTTAATAGCGTATAAGTAATTGTATATATGAAAAAGAAACTGTTGAATGAAGAATTGTCGAAGTTCTAAGGAAATGATCTAACCTGCTAGAATACCGTCGTGCCACGAAAAAACGCCGTATGAATATTTGACTGCTGCCAAATTTTCTGTCAGAAAACATTTTTTCTTTAGAGAAGTTATGAATATTTTTCTTTGAAATTAAATTTCTTTGAAAAAAAAAAGCGAAAATCCGAATATCCCGCTTACACAATTACAAAATTCTTCGTGAGTCAAATCACTCGCTATAACCATCGCTGTGATAATGTCTGTGGCATGAAAATACCACCCGCCCAACACGAAATATTGCAGCAATATTGTCAATATTGAAACAATATTGTCATGTAAATATTTCCTTAAATACACTGCAGAAATATGTTGACAATATTGCTAAAATATTTCATGACAATATTGTAACAATATATATTTATAAAAATGTTTTAAATATATTTACAAAATATATTTATGTAATTACTTTTAAAACAGTTTGTAAAATATATTTACAAAATATTTTAAAATTATTTTAGAAATATTAGTTTAAAAATATTTGTTTAATATTATGTTAAAAATATTTTATAAATATTTTTGTAATATTTAAAAATTAATTGCTAAAATGGCAAAAAATGGTTTGCGATTTCTGCAATTTGCTTTTTTTGCTAAAATGCCCACCCTCGTGGCGAGAACGACAAAACAATTTGCAAAAGTGGTAATTTTATTGTGCGAAAATGGCACTATACTTTTGCGAAATTAACATTACTAGTTTATGCTATTATGGCTAAAATTTTTGCTAGATTTTCAAAATGTTTGCCAAATTAGCGTATGGTTTTGCTCTGTTTACCAATTATTTTGCGGAACTTACTAAAATCAATCGCTAGAAAAAAGAAAGGGGGGGGGAAGAAAAGACAAAAAGAAGGGAAAAAAATAAATAACATAACATAAATACATTGACATAAATTCAAACTAGGAAAAAGCTTAAATAATTAAAACTGGAAAAAGACGCAATTATAAAAAACAGTAATTTGGTAAAGAAAAAAATGAGAGAGAGTTAAAAAAAACGAAAATTTGTAATACATGAATAGGAATATGTTGAGTACAATTAATAAAGAATTTGAAACACAAATTACAGGATGAGATAAAAAATAATAAATAAATAATAAATAATAAATTCTGGTAAAATATAATAAGAATCCGTCAATAAACAAACATATTACGGACTCAGAGGCCTGCGATAGTTAAGAGATTGAATTTACGGGCCCACCTACATCAAGCCTGGCTGGTCTGGTGGTAACGTACTGGACTTCGGATATCAACTCCACCCCGAGGCGTGGGTTCTAATCCCGACTAGGACGGCGCGGATTTTAAGGTCAGTAACAACTCTACGATCCCCAACCTGGACGCATGTGTACGTTAGAAAGAAAATTCTCCGTCTCCTAGTCTCCTAGAGTACGCGCACACGGATATGGAATATGATAACCTCATCGCAAGTAAATATTTTTAAAATATTTTTTCAATATTACCTTGACAATATTGCTGCAATATTGTCAGGGGGGCGGACAACAAACTATTGCAGCAATATTATTTCGATATTGTTAAAATATTGTTAAAATGTTTTTGACAATATTTCAGCAATATTTTTTAAAATATTTCCGTGTTGGGCGGGCAGAACCCTCATCTTCTTGCTGCCTTGGCTCAGTTATTGCCCACTTCACTATTAACACATTACACTTCAAACAACACATAGTATGGAAAGTGCTTAGATAATGGAGTGTACACTTTCAGGTGAAGGAAATGTAAGGCTTTGTAGCATTTACCTTGACCTTCTATAATGTTTATCTCGGTAAGGTTATTTTTATGAAGGTATTGATTATGTTCTTCCAGGGATCACAGTCTCCAGGTGAGCCGGAGTGTTGGGAATTGAAGAGGCAGTGCAACCCATGTCCGTCGAAAGTTCCGGGACGCGGAACGTTTTTGTTCCAATTTCTCCCACTCCATGACCGTCAAAGTTCCGGGATTCTTTTTAGATTTTTTAGATGTTCCAAGACAGTTCCCGAAAACGCAAAAGATCTGGAACATTTAAAAAAAATTTAAAAAAAAGATGAAAACCTGAGCCCTACATGGTGGTGGCCGGTTTCTGGGAAAAATGATTCCCGATGATGTTCCGTGAAATGGGAGCGTTGGTTGGTGGAAAATATGGGGAAATTCTCCGAAAACATTCCAGCGATTGAACCTCCAATAGCTCTTCACAGCTCAGGTGATTCGTATAATTTGCGTGTGTTCGCAAAGTTTTCCACGAGAATCCATAAGCAGCGGAAAACCTCGAAATTGTCCCCAATATTCCTACAATCACCCAAAAGTCTATGTGGCTCCAAAATCAGACACATCTGTGTGGCAAAACTTTGTTTGTTGTTTTTGTAGAGAAAGGCTGCATAGTCACTTGCATGCGTATTCCTTTGTTTGCTAATTTGAAGAAGGCCCTTACTGCCATGTTAAGGAAAAGCGCCATATGAACATGCGAGAGTTGCCGATTTGCCTCCGATAAAATGTTTATTTTCGAAGGAAGTTATCAATATTTTTCCTTAAAATTTTTAGAGTATTTAGATCAAAATACGAAGGAGTTCTGTGAAAAATCAAAATAGATATGTTTATAAATATTCCTGAAAATTCGTGATATATTAAAGGAAATTTGGCAACGCCTGAAAGCTCATACGGCATTTTTCCTTAGCGCGGCAGCTTAGATGTACCCTCAGGTGTGAGACTCGTAAAATATTTTGCGAACGGAATGATAGCCGAACGAAGTCATAAGGAACCATTTGTTCACGCATTAAATGGCTGTATAAAACAAGGACGCAAGCATTAGGACAGGCAATCGATGCCCTAATTCGTCTCCAAAAAATTGAGTGCTAGTATGAGTTTAAGTCGGTTCGATTCACCTTGGAGTAGTCTCTATTTTTAATCCCTTTATTTCAATTTTAAGAGAGATTTCAACAAATGTCCCGTGAATCAACGTTCTCTTTTTATTTTCATCCCATTTTCCTGGACGGAATGCTAGGGGCCATGCCGCTTATCGTATTTTTTTTCAACATTAAAACTGCACAGCGTATATACATGTTCTCATAGGATTGTATTGTACCGCGGGCGGAATTGAGAACTTCCGGATAAGACTCTTCTTTCTTCCGGGAACCATTAAAACAACTTCACGTAAGTAAAGCCCACATTTTCTGACAACATTCTATTGTCATGGGAACGGAGTTCCCCATGATATTAGAATCGTTCCGTTGCTTTCACTATGGGATTCCCTATACCTCTGCGACCTTGAGCGTTTCGCCCAGTCTCCGATTTTTGGTTGATTTTCCGATGTATCAAAAACCGTTGTATTTTTTAGCCAATCATGTCTCTACGTCAAGTTGTGTTGATTGCTAAAATTCGCTTTCAGCGAGTTTTTTTCCACCTTGAGATGTCGTGTCTGACTGGTAAATCTGCGCAGAACCACGAAGTTCCGTTTTTAGGCAAATTCTTTTTTTTGGGAGGTTCTGATTGGTTATTTTTCGCCATCAGTTTTCTGTTCGTTGGTGCAAAAGATCGCCTACCTCGTTGCTCTTGAGAAGCCGCCATTATCCCACCTCAAATTTTAAACATAGATATAAAGAAATAATAACCATCGTACAAGGTGGAAAATTGCTCTGGAGGACCCGTTACGGATATATGAGCCAAAATCAGAACTCGATTGATGGATTTAATCCATGAATACAGAAATATTGCCTGAGCTTACTGCCGCGATCGCAAATGCCTGTTGATATGAACCTCGTGACACATGACAGCATAGGTAAACAATGTCTCACAGAGTAATGCGGTTGATCCGTTGTGTCTTATCACGCCAGTGGCCGAACCGTTGAAATCTCAAGGACGTCTTTTGTGAAGCCCCGCTCAGCGTCCGAGATCACTTAAGTGTTCTCTTTTTCTCCATGCATATCTGAGCAGCGAAATAGCTCAAATGGCTGCGTTACCTTTCTGCCTCTGGGAGAGTGTCACTTTTTGTGCGAGCGGGGGTTCGAATCTCGTAGGGGACAGCTAATTTTTACTGGTTGTATTGAATGTTTTAGACCAATAATCTAACAATAATTAATACTTGGCAACTTAGGAAGCACATAGGTCCCTTATGATGCGTATTCGGGCATATGTGTAGAGTAAAAATATCATACGTAGGGTGTCCCAAAAGTACCGGGACTGGTTCTGTAACTTCAAAAGTAAGATAGATACAGACATGATTTTGGTCTCATTTTAAAGATCAACTCAATACCTATCGATTAAAACCAAGATCAGCTCAATCGAATAAAAATTGACCGAGTTATGACAATTTGAAATTAGTGAGGAAAGTTTACCCCTACGGTTTTTAGGAAGATTTTTCGCTTACCAGGATTCAAAAAGTTAATATTCGTATCCACTTTCCTCCGAATCTTCCATAACTTCCTTTTGCTTTTCAAAGTACCGTCCATCAAACCGGATGCACTTTTTCATGCGCTCTTGCCACTTATCCAACATTGTTTTCCTGAATTCTTCCTCTGGGATGGAGTTGAAGAAGTTTTGAATTGCATTCTGGATTTCGGTCTTCGATACGAATCTTCGTCCGCGAAGCTCCTTTTTAAGCGTAGGAAACATCCAAAAATCACATGGAGCCAAGTCAGGGCTATAAGGGGGATGAGGGATTGTTTCAACTCCATTTTTACTCATAAATTCACGTGTTAAGCTCGATGTGTGAGGCCGCGCATTGTCTTGATGGAGTATCCACGAAGCTTTCAAGTCCGACCGTTTCCGGGAAATGTGCATTCTCAACTCCTTTAGTACTTTGCAATAATACGCACTGTCAACTGTTGTGTTTGATGGTACAAAATGTTGATAAATGACACCTCGAAAATAAAAAAACACAATAAGCATCACTTTATCGGCCGACTTTTCGATTTACGGCGATGAAGAATCTTCCTTAAAAACCGTAGGCGTAAACTTTCCTCGCTGATTTCAAATTGCCATAACTCGGTCAATTTTTATCCGATTGAGCTGATCTTGGTTTTAATCGATAGGTATTGAGTTGATCTTTAAAATGAAATCAAGATCATGTCTGTATCTATCTTACTTTCGAAGTTACAGAACAAGTCCCGGTGCTTTTGGGACACCTTATGTACACTTTACGCCGAAAAAGCGAACCTGAAACTTAAATGCGTTAACTTCCGAAAACCATATATAATCCAACGAAAATAAATAATTGGTACATAACAGCTTTCTTGTATGCAAAGAAAATAATTAAAAATGTTAAAAAAGAGATGTCAACACAAAATTACATAGCCCCTTCAATTCAGAAGATACTAAAAACGAACTGTACCTTAACATTTTCATATCCCAGAAGCTAACGTTCCCATGACGAATATTGCTATCGCTAGCGATTGCAAAATCCAACTTGTTTGGAATTATATTCGTTTCCCACGCGCATCCGATTTGACACAGAACTATTTATGAATTTTTGGAGGATTTTTTTACTGCTTGGCAGTAATTTTTTGTGTGAAAGCATCCAAATATAAGAGACATTCAATTGGGATCTATCTACACCAAAATTAAATGAGTACAAAGGGATTAAACCATGAAGAAATAGGATCCTTAAATGTATTTTATTTAGGAACATGAACAACTGAATAAATTCAGCGTGACTATTGCGTTTCTTTGCCTTCTATATCGAACAAGTCTCAGAAGGGTTCTGACAGTAGATAGATAGATAGATAGATAGATAGGGTTTTTATTTTTTCCACAATTTCCATAATATACAAAGCTACAATAACTATAGAAAATCACCTCTCAAGGCATTTGCCGTCCGGGGGATTCCACGCAATTTTACAACTTTTTACAACATCCAAATATCCAATTTCAAATAAGCACATACTTGGATCAGTACATAGTAAAAAATAAAAAATAAATAAATAAAAATACAAATGCAAAAAAAAAACCATGTAGAATTTTGAACATAAAAATTTTAAAATTCCCTGTATAAAAACTTAGGAATACGTGTAACAATTGTCGCAATTTTGAAAAGTTTAAGAAATTTTAAATTTAAAGTTATAAAAGATTTCTTTAAAAATAGAATATCTTGGTGCTCTCTAAGCGTGGAATTTCAACTTTGCAATTAAAATATTCACTAAAAAATAAAAATTAAATTCTGAAACCAAGAAGAACCTGTACTGCCTCGCATGCTTACAATATTTCACTAAGCTTTTCCATTCTGTCCGATGTAACAAGTTTATGAACTTTTCTTTACTTACATTCCTTTTCTGCAACCATCTAATCCTAAATTCAAACAGCAAAGGACACTTAGCTACGAAGTGGAATACAGTTCTGACAGTATGATCTATTATTTTAACAGGCATATATTTCTGTGAAAACATTCTTACAGCGTCAAAAAGCAGTGTATCGTTTCCATTTCTTTTATTTTCTACCGGCTGCCTACACAGATAAGGAAGTAATCTTACGCGCAATGCATGAAGTATCCTGCAGACTTGTAAGGCGCTACTATGCGTTCAGCGGTCTCTACGGTCTGGTTCATACAGTAATTCATCTTATTTGTTAAAGAAAATAACATAAAGTTATGAGAATAAAGCATAACGCATAACGCTGTGCGGTTGGACTACAAGGCGATCAAAGGACGTGCCCTCGTTATTTGTTAAAAAAAAAAAAATTGTCAGTTTACCAAGTTTACTTCTGTGCGAAGCACTAAAATTTCCCTTACCAGGTCTGCATTCTCTTCATGACATGAAATCATTATTTCAACAGGAAATTCCAGGACTGAAATGTTCCTACCGCGGGAAACATGCACGTTGATACCAGCGATCCTCCTCATTTTCTTCCTGGCAATCTCACCTGTCTTTTTACAATCCGTAACTCTCTTCAAAAACAAGAACTTCGGTGGTCCTAAATGTGATGTTCAGGTCCAAGGATGCAAACCGGTTTGTCCTGAATTGAAGAGCCAGGCTTCATCTTTACAAATGACTGCCAACTGCGCTAATTTTTACCGACGGGAAGGCTGTACAGCTTACATGGGCACTTGGAACTCGAACATGGGTGAAATTAAGAACTTGAAGCACAAGGACGCCCAGGATTCAATCGTGTCTGTCGGGGACTGTAGCAAGCCAATCGTAAGCACTGACTCAATTACTAAATTCAATCATAGATTATTTGGTCTGATAGTATTCGAGTTCAAAATCACATAAAATGTAAAGGACTGCGTGTTAAAAAATGCATGTTTTTAAATTGAGCAACTCAGAACTATAATTTCTGGCTCATTTGTAAAAACACTTAAGTGTATAGGGAAACTAATGGTACATACGTTGTTTCTAAACGGAGCCAGAAATTATAGTTCTAATTGCAAAATGTAATCCAATTGGCTAACATTTCACAATTGGGAACTACAATTTCCGGCTCATCCGTGAAACTCTTACGCGCTAAGGGAGACGATGAGTGAATGCGTAGTTCATGAACTGAGACAGATTTTGTAGTTTCTAATTACAAAATCTGATTTATTTTACGTACAAGAGCCCACAAAGAAATACATTTCGCTCTATACGTTCCTTCACAAGCTTTATATGTAAACAGTGCTGAAGTGTCCAGAAAAAAAAGGGGAAAAAAACTCATTAATCGTACCTTCAGCTTCAATACGGCTTGGATTTGATTTTTTTAAAAGCAAATTGAAGCCTTTATGTTCCCTACCTCTTGAGAGGCCCTTGGTCATAGCATCCCTTAAAAAATGTGCATAATTGTATTTGCTGCAGTCTCGTCTAAACCCTAGGTCAACATCTACAACAATTCTTACAATATCAAGAAGTGTCCAAGCATATTTTACACCCTGTATATTGCTACTACACCCAGGCCATTTTTCCAGATCGCACAATAAAGACAAGCCCGCTTTGCGTGATATCATGCCCTAAAGGAGGCGAATAATTGAAATTTGTAGACAAAGCAATAGACAAAGAAGACAAAAGAGGTATGGAGAGATCTCATTGATGGAAGCGGGTGGTTGGAATGGACAAAGGAGGTTGATGATAGAATTTCTCCCTTAGTCAAGGTGTAGAAACCACACGTTTCAACCAATACGGTCACTCCCAATGGCATGGCGTGCTTTGCGATATATCGATTGATCTGCCTCTTTTTCTATACTATAAGCTCCAAGACCTCTTAAATTTACATATCTGGTAACGCTTATTTCCTGCGTTCTACCAAGCCGATTTCCATGATTTTTGCAGTTATTGACAGGTGATAGTCATTAGATGAGCTCGCTGTAATCAGAATTTGAAAATAGGACCCAGGTTTTTTTATATTAGAGGAGACAAGAAAGCTTAGAAAGGGGGGCAAAATTTGAAACTCCCGCCAATGAAAAATGGCGGGAATTTCAAATTTGGCGGGGAATTGAACTAAGCGGGACATGTTGAATCTTGGTCTGTTGGTATAGGGTAAGTGAATGGTATGCTTCTTTGCTAAAGACTATTCAAAAGCGACGAAACACTCCGTTCCGTTTCAGACTTGGCGTGGAGTTTGAAATAAATGCTGCTTTTTCTGAATAAATATATCTAAATAAAATATCTATCATCTAAATAAATGAAGCTGTTATTTACCAATTATTTATTTTCGTTGGATTATACATGGTTTTCGGAAGTTAACGCATTTAACTTTCAGTTTCGCTTTTTCGGCGTAAAGTATGATATTTTTACTCCACACATATGCCCGAATACGCATCATAAGTGACCTATGTGCCTCCTAAGTTGCCATTTTTTCATTCAAATAGATGTAACTGAAATGTTCGATGTGCACTATACTACTTTCATGTCATTGCTTTATTTATTTTTGAAAAAAGAAAATACCATCATTAATTTGGGCGAACAGAGAAAATATACATCAATATTTGGGTCAACATCTCCCTGATTATATAACGGATGAATATATTAGTATTTCTGTATCAAAAACTTAGCTTTTGTCTTCAGAGATACACTGATTCTAGTCCAAGTCAATTTGTTTTATTGAAAAGACAAAAAAAAAAAAAAAAAAAAAAAAAAAAAAAAAAAAAAAAAAAAACAACTGAAATGTTAGACATACTATTTTCATGTCTTTCTATTTGTATCAATAGGTACATCTTACTTAACTTACGAACGTTGAATGCAAATAAACTTTATTGAAAAAAAGAAAATAACGTCATTAATTTGGGGAAACATGTGGCTGATTATATGAAGGAGGTGCATTCCAGTATTTTTGTTTAACATATGAACTCACGAGAAAATGTTCGTACATTTATCATCTAGTATTAATTATTTTTTGATTATTAGTCTAAAACACTCAATACAACCATTAAAAATTAACTCCCATCGCCGGGTATCGAATTGCCCGATCACCCATTGCCCGCACCTTATCAAAAAAATAGGGCGCCTCAGTCAACTGGGCTATCACGGATCCGCAGCACTCAAAGAAAAAATAGCATTTAAAAGACTCGGACGATGGGCGGGACTTATCACAAGAGTTGTCCTTGAGCGATTCGCGTCTTCGTAGCTTCTGGAATATGAGAGGAATGAGCTAAGCGCCTTTCTCTGTGAGACATTGTTTGCCTATGCTATCATGTGTCTCAAGGTTCATCTCAGCATACATTTGCTATCGCGGCAGTAAGCTGAGGCAATAATTCTGTATTCATGGAATAAATCAATCAATCGAGTTCCGATTTTGGCTCATATATCCGTAACGGGTCCTCCAGAGCAGTTTTCCACCTTGCACAATAGTTATAATTTCTTTATTTCTATTTGTAAAATTTGAGGTGGGATAATGGCGGCTTCTCAAGAGCAACGGGGTATAGGCGATCTTTTGCACCAACGAACAGAAAACTGATGGCGAAAAATAACCAATGAAAACCTCCCAAAAAAAAGAATTCGCCCAAAATCGGAACTTCGTGGTTCTGCGCAGATTTACCAGTCAGACACGACAACTCAAGGTGGAAAAAAACTCGCTGAAAGCGAATTTTAGAAATCAACACAACTTGACGTAGAGACATGATTGGCTAAAAAATACAACGGTTTTTGATACATCGGAAAATCAACCAAAAATCGAAGACTGGGCGAAACGCTCAAGGTCGCAGAGGCATAGGGAATCCCATAGCGATAGCAACGGAACGATTGTAATATCATGGGGAACTCCGTTCCCATGACAATAACATAATAAATGGAAATTTCTCCAGTAAGTGGACTGTGAAATTATATACATCCAGTTATTCCTCATCATTTACAAATCTGAGTGTTGCGTCAAAAATTTTGAAATCGATGCAGCTCGAACACAAAATGGTGTATTAAAAGGGAAGAACATTTTTGCCCATGGCCCGAGGGCGCGAGGCGCCCTCCCGGGGGTTAGGCCCCTAAGTAACGAATACTTTAAGAAAATATCGATAATCGATCTTTCACGCTCCGCCACTAATTGCTCCATACTCCCAATGTCTTCTTTTGTCTATAGCTTTGTCTATCGATTCAATTCAGTGGTGCAGCTGACTGCACCACTGATGCCAACATTCTTTTTGCAGCCGGATAATACCGTTACTTTTTACCAGCATAAGAATTATCACGGGAAGAGCTGCACCATACAGGTGAATGAGGGCTGCCAACCTATGTGTCCGGACTTGGACAACCTAGCTTCGTCCGCAGAAGGAAACGCCGCCTGCATAGAAACATACGACGATCTCAACTGCCACCGTTACGTGGGTGATTTAATTGATTTCAAAATTGGGGGCTACAGAAACTTTGAAAAATGGCCTAATACATATTACGGATTTTATCAAGACAGAATCTCCTCCGTTAAATTGTGCTCGATGAACAGGACCGCTACATTCTACGAAAGCACTTATCAAGTAGGGAAATTTTGCACCATACCGTTAAATAAAGGCTGCCAACCGATGTGCCCCAAACTTAAAAAAGAATTTTATTCTATGAATGCGACAAATAGTTGCGTTAGGACATGGTCAGAACCCAACTGCACAGGAGAACAGAGTCAATACCATGTACCCGTGAATCGCCATTATCACTATGCAGCCTCTGTCGAGGACTGTGTAGACACGGATCAGGACAAACTTCCAACGAGACTGGATCTCAGGCGACCTGATATCTGGAAATGAGAACAATCAGTGAACCCATGAAAAGTGTAACATTAAGAGAAGTTGAGAATAATTATACATTGTGTGCGCTTAAGTGTTTTTTTGATTTATCTACACCCATTACACAACCTATCCGACTGGTTGCAATCTGAAACAAGAGACCCTAGAGTACCTGTATAGCGAGAGTATGGACAGACGTGAAACTCCGAAAATCTATCAGGCCTTCACCGATGTCTCCGCGAATAAAGTTAGGGCCCAGAAATGCAGCCAACCTATGAGTTTCAATTATCCAGAGCGCTTTACTAATACAATTGTTACGAACCATCGTTTACGAAGCACGTATTTGACTTACCTACTTTTTGCAAAAATTTACTCATTTTTGCGGAGGAACGCTCATTTATGTACATTCTCAGCCATCTTGGTTAGAATTGGAATCTGCAGACTGGCAGTGAAATTTTGTGCGCTAGAAGTTGGTTAGAAGGGTGGCTGCATTTTTGGGCCCTAAGCCCTCCATGAAGCGATCTGTCCATACTCTCGCTATATAGGTACTCTAAGAGACCCTCCACTTCTTGGCCATGGCGGAAGCTTTTACTTTCGGGACTTCAGCATTCTACTGTTGACTTACCTACATGGTTTATGTTTAACAACGCGTTAGCTGTTACAAACAAGCCGAAAATAGCCCAAGTTTGGGAAACTCGCTTTAGGTGACGTCACTCGAAGCTCATCATCTACCATGTAGGTAGGTTAACAACCGAAATTAGGGTGATGACTGTGTTGCTCCCTTATAATCGTCCATAAGGAATTGTTGAATCCCCGAAAGTAAAAGCTTCCACCTGTCGCCAAGAGGCCAGTGGAGGGTCTCTTGTTTCTAGTTGCAATGGGTAACTGTCAAAAATTCAGCACCTATCAAAAAGAATAAAAGGCTGGAAATCCCAAAAACAGTTGACTTTGTACATGTTAAGTATTCGCAGGTGTCGAGGTAGAGCTAGTAATTTCATTTATGAAAAGGAACTGTCAAATGAATTATACGTATTTTTGCCAAACGGAACTATGTGCGTTAAGACATGAGCCCTGAAATCCATGCGTATGCAGAACAGGGCTCACGTTATAATGCACATAGTTCCATTTGGAAGAAATACGTCCAATTATTGAGCGAGCCTACGTCCATGGCTCCGGAATTGAACAAGTATTAGTGAAGTTCTGACGAAATCATCTTGCATGCTAAAATAAACGTGTTTTAATGAGAATGGTTCAAGGTACTGGGCAAGGTAATTTCTCAATTTTTCACAAATTTCTCACTCAAAATTTTACGTATAACACACTTTGAACGACAGCAATTGCTTGAATTCATTCCTTGATGGGATAATTAACGTTTTTTGAGGCGTGAATTCAAACCGTCCACTTATACAAGCACGAAAAGTATCGGCGGCATTCCCAAAAACGTCCTTCAATCACCTTCAATACCACCGTGCTAAGGAAAAATACCGTATGAACCTTTAGAAGTTGCTAAATTTCCTTTGATAAAACACGAATTCCTTGGTAAAATCATAAATATTTTAATTCTAATGTCCTGAATAATTTGACTCGCTATTTTACGTAAAGTTCCAAAATATGCCAAGGAAAAATATTCATAACTCTCTCAAGATTGATGCTCTATCGGAGGAAATTTGGCAACACTCGAATGCTCATACGACGTTTTTTCTAGCACTGCAGAATAGTTCTTCGCGGTGCAGGTGATTCCAACGATGTCTGCGAGTATCGTCTTTTAAGTCAAAGTTGTCCCATGGAATAAATTTCGGATGGAAAAACGGATGCGTCCCTCCCCTACCTTCACCATATATAAAGTCTATATGGTTCCAAAATCAAACACACGTGTCTAAACTTCATGTGCCGAAAAAATATGCCACTCAGCCAAAAACAGCTGAAGGTGGTTTTAGCATTGGAAAAGTAGTGAACAGATAGAGTAAGGTCCCTCGCCACTTGCGTGCGTTTCTCTTGTTTGCTAATTTGAGGAAGGCCCCTTGATGTACACTCAGGTGTCAGACTCGCATAAAATTTCGTGAACGGAATAACGTTCTGACCCAGTCATAAGGAAGCACATTTTCACGCATTTATGGCGATATAAAACGAAGAAGCAATCATCAGGACTGGTAATTGATGCCCTAATGTGCCTCTAAAAAACTGGGTGCTACTATAAGTTTTGATCGGTTCGATTAACTCGAAAAAGGTCTCTTTCTGAATCATAGACTTCACTTTTACGAACAATCTCTGAATCAGACTTGTCCTCTTATTTGTATCCAATTTCACGGAGAGGAATGTCAGGATGGCAAAATGGCGCTTATCATATGTTTTCTCAACATTAAATCTTCTCACCATACGTACATACTCTCATAGGATTGAACCGTTGGCAAAATCGAGAATTGCAGATCAAGGCTGTTCTTTCTTTCGGGGAACATAATCAACATATCCACGTGAGTAAAGCTGAGATTTGGCCACAATTATTTTGTTCGGAAGGACATTCGTTTCTCCCGTGCATCTGATTCGACGCATAGCTGTTTCCAAATATTTGGAGGATTCTTTTTTATTAGGAGCATTCAAACCTGAAAGACTTTTTATTTAGATGTGCTTAAACCAATTGGACCCATATACAAATGGATTAAATGGTTCTAAGAGGGGGATGGCCCTATGTTATCTACCAAGTCTTTACTTTAATTTCACATTGTTTTAATTCGACATATTCTTTGCCTAAATTAAAACAGTATTTGATTGTAAGATTTCATAAGTTGCGAGACTTCTTTACCGTAGGTGTTTATTCCTTTTGTAATTATTTGTTTCTTGTTAAAAAAAAGAGAAGAATGAAACATGTATCACCTCAAAACTCTTGTTGATCCAAACGGAATTTTCCCTCTTCGTAGATCCAATGAAACTACCAAAGTTTTCGGGTTTCAGCATCTCAAGTCTTATCGAAAGTCCTCCATAGATAGAGAAGAATCCTCACCTCCTAATTATAAAACTCTCAGGGGGCCTGAGTTTGGTTCAATCCGCTCCATCAAAGCCCTAGTGGAAAGCTTCAAAGCTCTCTAACGTAGCTTTATATCTATTTTCAAACGAGCCCCGGGGAGTATATAGTCATGCGGAGAAAAAGGGTCACGTGGAAATTTAGATACGCCCTCATGTCGGAGAACTCCGGAGCCCTCTACTGGGGCTTATACGGTTGTAAGCGCGTATCTCTATTTCCAAATGAGTCCCGAAAAGCATATGGTCAGATGGCGAATAGAGCTCACGTGAAGATCAAGATAGGCCTTTCCGTCGGGCGAACGACGAAAAACGCACTCGGCACGGGGAAAAGCCCCTGCATCGGGTAAAAATTCAATTGAGGGGCCGAAAAATCGTGTCGGAGTGGCTGTGATGCAGTGCCGCCGCCAAATTGCCAGCCGGGCCCTTCGCCGAGCGAAAGCGCGGGCCCGAGCGGAGGCAAACATGTCAACCGCTAATGCAGGGACAGAGTGCAGCGAAGGGTCCCCGACCGGGACTGGTTGAGTAGCTGAAATTGCCTTCGCTGGCACCCCCCCCCCCCCCCCCCCCCCNTCCGCGCCTCCCGCAAGTACCCATCTCCCCCGTGGGAATCTTCAGACCACTTGACATATGATGACGGGGAGAAGAGGGATTTCTCCCCGACGACGGCGGGACGCGACGCCGCGACACGACGCATCGCGGTGTCGCGACGGAGGGCGGAAGGGATGCGTGGATCACGTGCGTCGCCGTGCCTTCGTTAGCATCGCGCCTTGTGTGCCTTTTCCGGGTTCGCAGGGGAAAAAATCGGGACCGGAAATAGGAAGCTCGCACTGAAAAAAAATTATCGGCGTTTTTACCGAGGTCCGTTCGTACCTTTACAATCTCACTTTTTTTACCAAGTATTGGTAATTTTACCGAGACAGACTGGTAAGCTTACCTAAAAACCGGTATTTTTACTGTTTTTTTTTTTCAGGTAAAAATACCACTTTTATTGGTAATCCATTCCCGGTAACTTTGCCATTTTATCTCGGTAATTCTACCACAGTCGATAAAAAATATTGGCGTTTTTACCAAGGTCCAGTAAAATTACCGAGAAAGCTCAATAATTTTATCAAGATTTCTCGGTAAAATTATCAATTCCATAAATGGTAATTTTACCTAGAAAACACTGGGATCAAATAGAACCCTGAATTCTTGGTAATTGTACCCTTTTCCTAGTAAATACACCGAGATTTTTTTTTCAGTGCGCTCTCTGGTATTGCTCGAGTTTTTAGTTCATAAAAAAAGCAAACAGAGGCAGATCCATAGGGTGGGCAATTGGGCATGGTCCCTCTATGGATCCGATCGATTGTTTCATTCTTCACTGGAAAAAAAACACATTGGATCTAGAGTTTAGAGTCTTGAAAACATTGACAAGAAAAAAAACCCTTGATTCAATCGAATTTTTGCTTGAATCAAAACGAAATCCGCTTATTAAGAGGCTTGATTCTTGATTTAAGCTAGATTCTGATTGAATCAAGAGTACTTTTTTTTGTCGATGTTTTTAAGAGTCTGGACTCTAGATCCAATGTGTTTTTTTTCCAGTAATTAATAGAGATTTTAAGATAACGCAATCAACAAATCGTCATCTTCCGGCCAAAGTATCACAAGCGCTATGCAAAGTTTCAAAATTTTCTCCGCCATTTTATTTTTTCAGTGACAGATTGCTCTACCTGGCTGTTCGAAAATTTCATTTTATTTTTTATTTTTTATTTTTTTTTTCTTTCACTGCCGATAAAATTCAATGAAATTTTCAAACAGGCTCAACCACCAATTTTTCTGTATAAAAATAAAATGGCGGCGGAAATTTTGGAACGTCGCATGGCGCTTGCGATACTTTGGCCAGAAAGTGATGACATGTTCGAGCTCTTCTCATAGCTATAGGTACTCCAATCAAAAATGCATCAAAAATGTTTAAGGATCTTCGGCGCTCCATTTACACTCATTCTCGTCCCCGCGAAAAATGTGGTGGAATTTTCGAACGGTTATCGCGGAGAGTTTACTGCATGGAACGAGCCG